ATCTTGTTGTGTGGACCTAATATTTAATCTTAGTTTTTTCCATTGATTTTTTTGTTTGTTTTTTGCATTTTAAAACGTACAATTTTCTGAATAAACTTAAACTGAGTTGTTGAAGTTAAAACGAGCAGAGCAGAAGCTAAAAGCAGCAGAATGCTAAATATTAATGCTAGCTAAAACAAGCACAAAGATGGCTGAAATGGGAAAACACTAAAAGCCTAAAAGTAACAAAATGGTATTTAATAGTAAAATAATAGCTAAAGCCATGAAAAGGCTAGCTAAAGCCATGAAAAGGCTAGCTAAAGCTATCAGAAGGCTAGCTAAAGCTATCAAAAGGCTAGCTAAAAGAAGCACCTAATAGCTAAAAAAAAACGTTGAACAAAACTGAATCAACATATAAGCCAAGATCCAAAGTTTACGTTGTTTAGTTTTATTCTGAAACAAAATCACATTTTCTTCCTTTTCACACAATGTTAGTATTAGGATGTGTTTGGTAAACTCTTTGCTTTTTTAATATTTTGTGTTTTTTGTAGTTTTTATTGACTKCAGGTCAGGAGTTAAAAGTTTTTGGTCCATCTGTGTGGAGGTTTTATGGCATTTTACACACTCAGAGWCTCTTAGTTTAGCTTTATTTCTAAGTTGTTAATGTGAACAATGGGACAGAGCGGTGGGTTTTTCTGTTTCAGCATTTCTGCTGAAAAAGGGAAAACGATATCCAGAGCTGAAACTGTCCGTCCATCCTTTTAATTTGAAGGAGTTTTAGATTTAAAAAAAATCTAATAAACTAGCACAATAAAACTCTGAGGAACTTTGTATGCCTGTTGTACGATTCATTAAACAAGTAATGGATCCTAACAGGTGGAGTTTGGAGCTCCAGCGTGCTTCAGGACTGACAGCTGCTCATTTAAAGCTGTTTCTGCAGTAAACAGTTTGTCTGACTGCTGCATGATGCTGCTGCACATGCAGTCAGTTAGTCAGGCCAGGCATGAATAATGACTCATTTACTGTAATTCTGAGTTCATGTTATGAAACAAGAAGGTTAAAGTGGAGCTTTCTGTCACTCCTGAAGCCAGAATAGCTGCAAGCCTTTTGTTTTGTACTTCCTGTCTGCTGCTGTTCTCACTGACTGAGTGTCACCGTGTGTGTTTCCTGGCCTGCAGCGTTCCTTCCATCTCCGTGCAGCTGAACGGCTCCACCAGCGTGAGCTCTGCCCTGGCAGGTAAGCGGGTCACCGACCATCCGTCCTGCGCGTTTCCTCTGCTCTCCAGCTGGGTGCAGCTGTTCTCCTCAAGGTTTCTTCCTGTTCCCCCCCTCCCCCCTCGGTTGGTTTTTAAGTAAAGTGAAGGAGCAGAAAGAAGAAATGAAACTGTTAAATGTTGACTTTAGCTGTGAGAACATCCTCCTGGTGGATGCTGGGAAAAGAAACTCTTTACCCGTTGAGCAGCTGGATTTTTCCAAACATTTTGAACCTAAATGTCTCAGAGTCTTAATAAAACCACAGAACATGCGTACTCAGTACCTCAGCTTGGATCAAATATTCCTCGTTTTGCACGTTGCATCTTCACACTGTTGTCAGCATGATGCAGAATCATCTCATCTCATCATGTTTTTTTTGGTAATTAAAAATCACCTTTTATTAAAACCTGAACGTTTTTAAATTATTCAGCTGATTAGTTGTAAAACTTGAGTATTYAGGAGTTAAAATCACAGTAATTTAAGTCTGCATCATGTCAAAGGGACGTGTAGTTTGAAGAATCCTGAGCAGCTGTGGTTCTAGTTGTTTAAAGCTCGTTGAACAGCTTCAGTCTGGAGAATTACCGTATTTATTCAGGTATAATATGAGACATTTAACCTCTAAAATCATCCATAAAGTGGTGGGGGAGTGTAGGATTATACACGGGAGAATATTCCAACTAACGGTTTTAATGTACGACTACAATAAGTTTCAATATTACAGAGCCCCGTGAGGGGACATGGGGGATTTTATTTTATTTTTTTGTGTGTGTTACTTAGCAAAAGTAGTTTATCACTGCTGCTGCTGGTTTATTAACACATTCACATGCTGACCACAGCAACACAGAACCGGCAAAACATGCTCACAAAGTGTGTCTCCCCTAAAATGTCACCCATCATATCCAAATGAGGATTAAGTCAAATTTAGTCAAAATTACATTTTCAGATTCCTGCTTTAAAAGCTTCATTTTGATACCTGGATCATTCTGATATCATGAGCTTATCCAGAGATTTGACTTCATTTGTGTTGTTGGTTACAATAATACATTAATATTTGGTCTGAATCCAAATTTTATGTAAATTTGAGTAATTTTTGATGTCAATATAAAGAGGAAATCTCATAGTATTTTTAWTGAAGATTTCCCAGCTGGAAAGAATCAAAAACATTGTTAGCTCGCAGGGAAGAATTCTAAATTTTAAAGTGTTTTTTCCTCAAAATCAGTTGTTGTTTTTTTTTGCTACAGCTCAAAAAATGCTTCAAAAATTATTTTTAGGATGATATTTCAGACAGTTCATTCACATGATACATTGATAAAGCATGAACTCATTATATTTTGACAAAATGCAAATTTTGCAAATGTTTAAATCAAAACTATCAGCCTGTTTCTCCGTATTTGAACTTAATCCTGGTTTTGATGTGWCGGCTCACATATGTTGAGACCGCAAAGTCCTGAAGTCTGTCTGAGTGGTGACTTCATACATGATGTTAGATTTTACTCRTTCATATCGTGACCCATCATATCGAAATGAGGATTAAGTCAAATTTGGTCAAAATGACCTAATTACATTTTCAGATTCTTGGCTTTAAAAACTTCATTTTGATACCTGGATCATTCTGATATCATAATTAAATCCATATATATGACTTAATTTGTCTTGTTGGTTACAATAATACATAAATATTTGGTCTGAATCCTAATTTTATGTCATTTTAATGAGGAATTTTTGATGTCCTTATAAAGAGGAAACTTCAAATTATATTTGAATATTGAGATTTCACAGCTGAAAAGAAACAAAACTTTACTAACTCACAAGGAAAATCTCAACATTTTAAGGCGTTTTTCCTCAATCATTTTTTTTTTGTTGCTACTGCTCAAAAAAGTGCTTCAAAATTTAATTTTATGATTATATTTCAGACAGTTCATTCAAATGATACATTAATAAGGCTTTTATTCATTATACTTTGACAAAATGCAATTTTTGTTAACATTTTAGTCAAAACACTATAGTTGCCTTTTTCTCCATGTACAACTTTTGGACTTAATCCTGGTTTCGATGTGACGGGTCACATAGGTGAATAAATACGGTAGTTTAATTCAGACTGGATTGATGAGCTAATGGCTAGTCTGAGTACAGATCAAAGTAGTCACAGATTTATTCAGGTCTCATCAGATGTTAGATTTGACCTGTTTGTGATGCACTCCCCTCAGACAGAGTGAAGGATTGTGGGTATTATTGAGTGGTGCCTGTGTGGTGTGATGTAGAGGAGCAGCGAGGAGCTCTGACTCCACGTCTCATTCTTTTTGATTTGTCCCTTTTCTGCTCCTGCATCCCGCCTCATCCTGCCCCCACCCCACCCCACCCCGCCTCACCCCGCTCCAGGCATGGCCTCCATTTTGATGTCAGCGGTGGGACTCGGCGTGCACTTCACCACCGCCCCCCTCCCTCCGCCGCAGCAGCCCCAGCAGCCGCCGCCGCCGCCGCCGCCTGCTCCTTTCGCTCTTCCTCCTCCTCCTCCTCTCCTCCCCTCAGCCAGCAGGCCCACCAAGCCTCACAGCAGCAGTTCAGTTAGGAGAGCAAAGAGGCAGCACAGGAGAGGTAGCTCCGCCCCCCATCCCATAATCCACCTCTTCATCCTCCACTCGTCTCCTCAGCTTCATCCTCCCATCTTTTTGATTTGTGCTCACGTGTGCTCGCACTGACCCACCTCACCATCAGCCTTAGGACTTCCAGGGGCTTCAGTCAAATATAGGGTTTCTGCTGGAACATGACAAAACAAACAAACAAACAAACAAACAGTTTGAGGAAAAAGTCAAACACAGAAGTTTTTATGAAGCAGCTTTAATGCTGCGTCTCCCAGGTGTCAGTCCAGTTGTAGAAGTTTATTACCTCCACCAAGAGCGAGGTAATGTTTTCGGTCGCGTATGTTTGTCTGTCGTTCTGTCTGTGGACAACGTTACTCAAACTTGTGGACAGATTGTCATGACATTTACATCACATGTGGGTACTGGGCCAAGGAACACACCTTTAAATTTTGGTGATGTTCCGGATCACGATGCGGATACAAGAATTTTTTTTCTTTTAACACACTATCGGCAAAGCTGTGATGCTTTCACAGGGCTTCACAACTTATTCAGCAAATGTGTTTCCATCTCTGCTTTTGTGCGTTAACTCTTACAGGATGGAGGAAATTGGWCTTGGCTGAGGTTTGCACTCTCYSAGTGCTTCTAGTTCTTTTATTAACTTAATGTCCTCAAACAGACGGTGCTCTCAGAAGCTTCAGGCTGGATCTCTAACAGCTGCTTCCATCATTCATCATAAATACTCCTGAACTTTATAATTTAAAGCAGTTTTTCATCCCCTTACTAAAAACTAATGCAGATTAGTTTTGATCACTTATTAATTCTAACAAGAAGCAGCGTTTTGCTTTCATGATTCATTTCTCTAATTGTCTCTGAATCGTTTATTTGATGCTTCAGTTTGGTTTCCTGTCAAAGATTTAAATGAAAAATATATTTACAGCCACAGTTTTATTTTTTACATTTCCTGGTTCATGAACCTGACTCAAGTTTGTGAAACTGGGTCCATCCATCAAGTGTTCATCCTGTCACCTCACCTCCTCCATGTTCTGTCCTCTCAGGACCACCGTCCCGTCCCACCTCACCACTTTCTGTCTGGAATAAACGAGTTTATTTTTTAGCTGAGCGTTCACTCTGCTGTCCTCCTCCCAGTGTCTCCGAGGTCTGAGGAGGTGATCCAGCGCTACATGGAGGTGGTCGCTGAAGCTCCAAACGAGGTGAGTTCTTCACGTTTTGCCCGTCATGTCTTCAGATTTCATGTTTCATGAAAACACGCAGGAAGCTGTTGTTCTGTGTGGTTGTTGGTTGTATTTTTGTGAAAACCTGTCTGGGTTTGGATGTAAACCAGTCCGACCTCGTGTCTCGCTCAGGACTGCATCATCTGCATGGACCAGTTGTCCAGCCCGTCCAGCTACGAGACGCCGTCCTCCTCCTCTGAGGAGGAGGCGGGGCTCGGCATCCTGCCGGACGCCGTGGGGAAGTTCATTAAGTGTGGCCACACCCTGCACATGCTCTGCATGCTGGCCATGTACAACAACGGAACCAAGGTACCGGGCCAGGAGACGAGCTGTCAGTCAACTCTGTCTCTTCAGACGCTTCAAACTAGGGTTGGGCGATGTGAGGATAATCTTACATCCTGATATACTTTGGCTATATTGCTATACAGGATATAAATATCATGATACCTCCAATCGCTGAAAAAATTATTAAAAATTGATCCAAAAAAATTTGAGTACTGAATCTGAACAAATTTAAATGTTTTATTACAGGGTTCCTGCAGATCCTTAAAGTCTTAAAAGGCATTGAATTCATCAATCCAAAATTAAGGCCTTAATTAGCCTTAAAATGTCTTAAATCAATCTTTCAGAGGTCTTAAAAATGTTAACACATTGTAAGTAGGATGATTGTAATTCATCTCAAATATTAAAATAGGTAAAATTATTATTTTTTTAATATTCACATGCAGACATTCCCCTTTGACATCACTTCCTGTTATTTCACATGCAAATATCACAACAACTGTCCATCTGAGCAACATGAAATTTGTTTTGTAATATGTTAATAATGTTGTCTTTCCAAAAATACATTCACTTTTCTTACTAACATTTTACAKCACAGGCACTTTAAGGTTTCATCTACAGCAAATTGGGGTTAAGACCAGTTTATCTCAGGTTTATCTCAGTTGAGGAAATGTAAYTGGTACGTAATACTGGCTAAATTAATTTTAATCAAGGAGACTAAACAACAATAACAATTTATTTGATTTTTTTACTTGTATTTATTATGTTTCACTTTTTTCTCTTGTTTAAAATGTAGAAGACAAATCCTTCTGCTCCTTTCCCCAAAAAGAGAGAAATCTTAATTTGGTCAAACATTTTTTTAAATTATTGAATCTATTTTATATTTCATTGAACGTTAGGACACACAGCATGTTGTTGGTTAGGGCATAACGGCATTTTGTTCAACGTCCTCTTTCTGAAATCCAAACCAGTACCAGATTATTGATCCAGTGCTCCATTTATACTCAAATATACATTTATACTAAATCCAGTGATCATTTATACTTGATAGTTAGGATGAAGCCATTTTAAGCCTCGTACACTGAAAAACTTGTGGTGTATGTTTGTTACATCGCCCTTTCACCCTTGTTTCAAAGACTAAACTCTGACTAAACTACAAACTAGCCGTTTGCTAGCAGTTCCAGACCAAACCGTGTCATTCTTTAATGTGGGACGGTTGTGAGGACCCTGGGTCTGGTTGTGTCCCCCTGCAGGACGGCAGCTTGCAGTGTCCCTCCTGTAAGACCATCTACGGAGAGAAGACGGGCACGCAGCCCAAAGGCAAGATGGAGATTTACAGCATCGGCCAGTCGCTGCCAGGACACCCAGACTGTGGCAGCATCCAGATCATCTACAGCATCCCACCTGGCATCCAGGTACCGCTCCCCTCTGAGCCTGACAGGTCCGGTCCGGTTTACACAGATATCGGATCCTCTTTAGACAAACTAATTGTTCCAGCAGCTGATAGGATTATTTTCTTTAGTTCAACAGATTTCTGCTTTGAAACGTTTGTGAGGTTGATCCRTTTTTTCTGTCACCCTCCAGAGCCTGGAGCACCCGAACCCCGGACAGCCATACACCTGCAGAGGCTTCCCTCGTTTCTGTTTCCTCCCCGACAACGACAAGGGCCGGAAGGTGAGCAGGCAGAACCACGAGACCCCAACGGGTCCGGACCCCTGAGCTGAACCTCTCACGTCGTTTCAAACCGTTCCTGATGAATCTCACCRCGTCCGCTGGAGATAATCTGCCGTGTACTTCTCCGGTGGCGCTGCGGTTGTTTCATGTTTTTGTGTCGTTTTAGCTCCGCCTCCTCCTCATCCATTAAAATTACATAAAATTAGGATTTAGACCAAATATTTATGTAGTATTGTAACCAACAAGACAAATTAAAAAATCTCTCTGGATCCACTAATGATATCAGGATGATCTAACTATCAAAATGTAACTTTTAAAGCAAAGAATCAGAAAATATGAGGTCATTTTGAACAAATTTGATTAATCCTCGTTTACGGGTCAGAAATGAAGCAGCTCTTGGTCCAACATGAATAAATGCACAGTTTGTCTGAGAAAAGCTTGTTTTTGTTCCGTCCCGAAGGTTCTGGAGCTGCTGAAGGTGGCGTGGATGCGTCGGCTCATCTTCACCGTGGGGACGTCCAGCACCACGGGGGAGCCCGACACGGTGGTGTGGAACGGCATCCACCACAAAACGGAGATGATGTCCAACCTGTCGGGCCACGGCTACCCCGACCCCAACTACCTGGACAACGTTCTGTCCGAGCTGGCCTCGCAGGGCGTGACCGAGGACTGCCTCAAAGCTGCAGGAGCYGGCGGCAGCTAGGGTCCAGACTCCCACCGAGCCTCCGGGTCGCTCGTCAGAACCAGGAGGGGATGAGGCTGCTCATACGTCACTGTGTTTCTGCGCTTCACGCGATCCGACGCCACGCCCGTTTCATCGAACTTTTCCTTTTTAAAGCCTCATCAGGACCCGGTGAGAGGAGGAGGAGCAGCTCTGGGATTGAAGCACTTTAACTCTGACGGTGCATTCTGCTGACATCATACTTTTAGGAAGAGCAGTAAACTTGTTTTAACGTTAGGAAGGCACGGCGGCAGCGAAGCTTCACGTAGCAAAGCTCAGTGATGAGAAGAGGCAATACTTTCCTGTAAATAAACACATGAATGCATCAGAACATGAAGACAAGTCATCAAGTTTTTCTTTTTTTACATTTGGCACTACTTCTGATTCAACCCTATTTAAATCTGAACCATTCTGCAGCTGATGTTTTTGTCACTTAATGTTTGTTGTGTCAGAAATGAATTATTATTATTATATAAACAGGAAGCACTAATGTTGGGGGGCGGGGCCGGTTCAGATTTGACAATCAGTCAAATGAGACCCGAAGGCGTTCCCGCCAGGTGACCTCATCTGCTCCGCTCAGCCTCAACATCTGTACAAAACTGGAAAAAAATATATCTGCAATAAAGAAACGATGCAAAAAATCCAAGCTGGACTGATTTCATCCAGACCGTACGCCAATCAAAGTGCAAGGCAACACATTTTATTTGAAAGGCCTAACTGGCATTAAGGTACAGCATATTAAATAGAGTTAGTCCAGAGACGGTCATCGCAGAGTAACATACCATTCTGTTCTTTACATCATACATTCAGGCTGACGTTAAAACCACAGATTTTACACGTTAATGTGGGCGGGAACGTAGAAAAGTCCCGTTAACCAGGTAGGAGCTGCTGTTTTTTTTATCTCGCCTGACTGCGGTCAGAGAAATCAGACGGTCGTAGGTTAGTGTTGTGAGAGTTCCTCATCGAGCTGTAACAGAATATATTTTACATCCCTGCACAAAAATCTTATATGTCAATAAATATAATAAATAAAAAGTACAAATATCTGAATATTAAGGAACCAGAGGATGTGTCAGTCATATGTCGCAGCTAACAATGTGCCGCAGTGGAAGGACTTTTTTTTTAATGCAAACGTGAAAACGTTTTTTTAGTGAAGTTTCCAAAATCAAAAGAAATCAGGGTGGTGACCTCCTTTTAGAAGGGGAAGTGACGGTGGTCCTGTCTGCACCGAGTGAAGGCTTGAGTCAGAAAACGAGCCGAACTTTAGCCTCGCAGCGTTTTCCCGTTCTGCCTCTCGGCTCGTTCAGAGTCCCATCAGATCGCTTTCTGCTAGGCTCTGTGCTGAAAGAGTCCCAAACCACGACAAACTGCTGCTGCTGATCAGTAATTCACTTTCCCAGGAACCTGAACGTTGACTCCGCTGTAGTCCACCATGTACATGGGCCACTGCTGCAGGGACACAAACAAACAAACAAAAGTTAAGTAGTTAAAACCAAAGCCTGGTTTACAGAAAACTGGTTAAACCTAAAACATGAGGTTTTATTGGCTGTGAAACTTCTACTTCCTGTTAGTGTGCTGGAATGACCTCAACGACCTAAAAAAACATTCATTGTTTTGAATTAAAATGTTAAAAATATTCAAAATGTCCTGATTTCTATAAGAGCCACTGGAAAAAAAATCTGATTTTAATCTCAGAATCTTAGAAAAGTTAGAATTATTTTTTCCCAGAGGCCCTAATCCATCCATCCTTTCATAGATTTGTTTTCAGATTTCTTGTTTTAAAATCTTTCCAAAAATCTGTTAAATCTTTATTTTGTATTTGTAGGTTGTTTTTTTTGCTAACGTTAGCTTGCTAAAATCAAGAAAACTTGTTTTGTTCAACTTGAAACCAATTTTTTTATTCATTTTCATTAAAAAAAACTAAACAAATTTACATAAAACAAACAAAAAAATTAAACAAATTAAATAAAATGAAAGGCAATGAAAGAAAAAAAATCTTATATCTGCCCCTGTAAAAATATTTTTTTCAACTATAAAATTTCAAGAATAGAACAAAACAAAAAACTTCAATTTCTCCAACAGTATAAACACACATTATACAACCTCCTTAGTGAACCAGCCTTTTTTTAATCACTTTCCAGATTATTCCATAATCTTACTCCTTTGACTGAAGTACATCTGTCCTTCATATTTGTTTAACAAACATCTCAATTCCCTTAAGATTATAACAACTTTCCTGCTAAAAAAATTTAACTGAATGTTTGAATGTAATACATTTTTATGAGCCTTATAACCTGCAAAATATTAGAATCAACCAAGTCATAAAAGTTTTATATTGTCAACTGATAAAATAATATATTTGATGGATGATTGTAATGTTTTCTGGTGATAAATCTGACAGCTCTTTTCTGTAAAATAAAAATAGGATTAGTAATTGTTTTACATGCTTTACTCCAGACTTCTATACAATAAATCAAATGTGGAACATTTATTGAATTATATAATATAAACCGTGTTTTATAATTAAATAACTCCTTTACTTTATGTAGTAATGCAATATATTTTATTTTTATTTTTAAGTAATTTATATGAGGTTTTCATGTCAGTTTTTTGTCAATGATGACGCCCAGAAACTTTACAAATCTCAACATTTTTGACTCTAAATGAAACATCAACAGTTCTCTTATTTTTACTAAATATAACTAGTTTTGTCCAAATTTAATGATAACTTATTAAATTTGAACCAAAGTATTTCAAGCCTTCCAGCCAAATAAAGTGAAAAACTTCAGCCCACATAAGGCAGCTGCAGGACCCGGGTGGAGGCGGAGCAACCTACCATGACTGGAATCTGATTGGTGGACAGGCCGAGCTCGTCGGCGGAGGCGGGAACCCGGCTGCTCTCCTGGACTCTCTTCCGTTTCCGTCGGTTGGTTGAGGTGTTTGTTCTGACTGCAGATGAAAACAGTGTCAGCAGCAGCAGCAGCAGCAGCAGCAGCAGCTCCTCCTCCAGCCAACAGAAGCTGAAAGCACCTACCTGTGTTGCAGGCCTGGCTGCACAGCTCTGAGAACGGCCTGGGAAAAGACAAACAAACAGGTTTGTGCTGAACGATAAAACATTTTACTCCTGGTCAGATGTGAGGCTGCACTCACTGCAGCTGGCTCTTGATGCTGAAYGTTAGTTTGTCTGCAGCCTGCAGGATTTTCTCCAGGCACACCATGTCGTAGGTGTTGGGGTTTCTGAAGGGGACGTCGTCTGGAAGCCCGCCCACCTCCACGGACTCGGGGCTGCCGCGGATCAGTTTGTATGGGACCGCCACGGAACGGTCCAACCCCAGAGCCTCACCTGAAGAGAAAAGATCAGAACAGGTTAAAGTTCCTGTGACATGCTTCAAATACAAAACGTCAAAGAAAACATTTATATTGAAAAAAATTAGCATAATACACATGATTTTAACCATTTTGTCCCATAACTGGCATATTTTCTCTTGAATTTGTCTCAGCAAAGTGAAACAGGAAGTGACATCAAAGGGGAACTCTAAGAAAAAACTCTAGTCTTTGTTTATTGAAACAATATTATTTAAACACTTCTACTCTGATAGTGACTCAAAATAATCTAAAGAAACATCAGATTATTCTCTAATTATTGTAGCATCACTGTTTACATGCAGACATTCCCCTATGACATCACTTCCTGTTTCTTCACATGCAAATATCTCAACAACTGTTCATCTCAACGGGGTAAAATTTGTTTTGCAATATGTTATTAAGGTTGTCTTTCCAAAAACGCGTTCACATTTATTACAAAAATGTGATGTCACAGGCCCTTTAAAGCAGAAAGAGCAGCTTTCTTCATGAAGTGAAACATGAGGACCAGAGGAGTCCGTGCTCAGGGTGTCAGCTTGTGGACGACACACGAGGACGTCACTTCTTTACCATATTTCTTGTTGAACAGCTCCTTGACCTGCTCCCGGAGGACCACCTTCTCTCCCATGCGGTTCAGGTCGTCCTCGTCTGTCAGGAGAACAGAATCGGACCTCGGTGAGATGGAGAACAGCGGTGAAGCATTGTCGTCTCTGCAGTCAGAGAAACTGCTTTCCTCCTCACCGCTTATCGAGGCGTAGGCCTTCTTCAGTAAAGTGACTCGCCGCGGTGCTGAGAAAACCAACGCACGGGTTAGTCCCACCGAGCCGGGTCGCTCAGAACCAAACAACAAAGTCTGCTCATACCTGGTTTGGGAATCAGTCCTTGAAACGGCCTGAAAGCAAAAAGAAAAGAGTTTTAAATGAAGACGGGGAGACACCCTGCTGCTGCGGGGTCACGTGACCTGGGCCCACCTGGTGATGGTGAAGTTGATTTTGTCGGCGACCGCCAGGATCCTCTCCAGGTTCTGYGAGCCGAAGGTGCAGGGCTTCCTGAAGGGGATCCCGGGGGGCAGGCCCTCGATGATGACCGAGTCCGGGTTGTTYTTGATCCTCTTGTAAGGCACTTGGACTGGATACTTGATGCCCAGCGCCTCGCCGTACTTTCTGTTGAACAGGTCCTGGACCTGCTCCCGCAGCGTGTTGGCCAGGTCGATCCGGGACAGCTTGGACTCCATGCACTCTGAGGACCAGAGGGACACACGGCTGGGGGGTCAACACTGGTGTCTCGCACAGCGCAGACAGCACCCAGCTTAAAGATGAAGAAACACGAAGGAACCTGAGAATCCGGGTCTCTTGGACAAAGCTGCTGCGTCCTCTGGTCCTGCCGTCACGTCCGGGCCGTCCAGCTCTGTTAAAGTGAACCAAAACACAGCTGAAAGCTTCATCTCACAACAGAAACACTCAGGAGCTTTTAATTTCATCAGAGCAGCAGGAGATTACATTTGGAAGCAGCTGCAGGAAATCCCTTTTTTCTTTAAAAAAAAGCTGACTCAGCAGAAACTGAACTGAATTTGACCTCAGATTTCTGCAGAGTTTAAATCATCCTTGAAAAACTGACTGTAGCTTCCAGGTGATAAAAATCACCAGTGGTGGGCACAGTTCCSCTAAAGCACTAATAGGGGAACTAATTTTCYGATTAGTGCTTTAGGGCTTTTGCTAATTTCTTAATTCATTAGTGGATTAGCACTTGCTAAATCTAAAAGCACTAATTTAGTTCTTTAAATGTTATTGATCAACATCTTTGTCAACAGCTGAGGATGAAAGCTGCCAGRCATGTTTGTCACTTCTCCACTAGATCAGTGCTTTTCAAACTTTTTTTGCTTCAAACCCACAAAATAACAGTTGCAGACACTCGTGACATTTATTACACGTTTACATAGTTAAACTTTGCTAATAACTTTGTTAAACATGGGAATAATAACTATAAACAAAAAGTAACTATGATGCTAATTTTTATTCCTTTATGATTATTTAAAAAATTGCAATAATCATGATGAAAATGTTCCAGTAGCATTTTTTTTTGCATTTAAATTGATGTCTGGAAGTCATCTGGGGACCCTCACTTGATGTTTTTTGGCCCACAAAGAGGTCCTGACCACAACTTTGGGAACCCCTACACTAGATGAAATATAACAATATTCTGCACACAGAAAATATTCTCATGTTGACTCTGAGGACTGTGCCGTGGGTCAGCTGGGTTTTTAGTGCTTTAGAATTAGCTTTAGCTAAATCTTTGAGTGTGTTAGTGCTTTAGAATTAGCTTTAGCTAAATTTTTGAGTGTGTTAGTGCTTTAGAATTAGCTTTAGCTGAATTTTTGAGTGTGTTAGTGTTTTAGAATTAGGGGACCTCAACATTAAAGTTAGTGCTTTAGGGTTAGTGCAACTAATTTTTGGATTAGTGCTGCCCACCACTGAAAATCACCACAGACGAGTTAAAGCTTTAAAAAAGACAAGACGAAGGACAGAGCTGCAACCAGCTGCTGTTCTGAGAGATTAAAACAATAATTCATCAGATCAAACCTTCTGATGAGTTCCAGGTCTGATCAGGACCTACCTGCGTCGCAGACGGGCATAGGAGGCATCTCTTGTTTCACATGTTCCGTCAGAACCTCGGGCCTGCAGACGGAGCAGAGGGATTAATAACCCGGGTTCAGATGCAGATTTTACAGGAAGGAAGCGCCTCCGTCCTACCTTCTGATGACAAACTGGATCTGACTGCTGACGGCTAAGATCCTGCGCAGCTTGGCCGCCCCGAAGCAGTTGGGCCTTCGCAGGGAGATTCCCTCTGGGAGCCCCGTGACGTACAGATCCTCCGGGTACATCTGGAACTTGGAGTACGGCACCGTGGCCGGTTCTGGAAGGCCCAGAGCTTCAGCTGAAGAGGAGGAGAAACAAACAGTCAGCGTGTTCCCGTCGTCGCGGTGAGCAGGACGGCAGGMAGCCTCACCGAACTTAATGCTGAACAGGTTCTCCACGTGTCTCCGGAGCTGCAGGATCATCTCCCCGATGTCCTCCACCAGACTGCCGGCTGAACGGAGACATGGTTACACCGAGMTGAACGGGTCACGTTTAACTTTTTACACTGAAATACAGGTGGGGGGTACCTTCAGAGGGTCTTCTGATGGTCTGAGGGGCCGCGCCGGGCGATAAAGACTCAACTGCAGGAAGAAAGAAAAACATGAGAAGAAGAAGAGACTCATGATAAATGTTAGAAACACAACATGAGGAGCTTTAGATCAGAAGATAACAGAGCAAAAAATACAATTTAGGCTTTAAAGCAGGGCTGTTCAACTGGTGGCCCGCGGGCCACATCCGGCCGGAGAGTGACTTACGTAAGGCCGACAAAAATACAAATACAATTTAAATCAATGCAACAAAACAAATATACAAACATAAAAACACTTGATCTTATACATAATGTCCACTGAGCAATCTAAAGGTCGTATCTTTTTTAAATGTTTAACTGTTACACTTTATAAACACTTTGTTGTATTTACATGTAATTCTGTTGGAAATGATTGTTTTATAAAGTTATTTAAGACAAACTGAGTCAAAAGTTGATTTTCTCATGTTACTTATAAAATATGATTACAAATTACTCCATCATTTCTTATGCTACAATGTAAAATATTCATGTGTTTAAAAGCTGGAGGTACATTTAATGATCCTAAAACAGTCCAAGTCTCACAAACTAAAGGATTTTTCAACCACAATCATAAAAAGGTTCATAATTTACACCATCCTCTTGGTTAAAAACATAATCTGTAAGAAGTGTTTTAAATTCTTTTAGGAGATATTGAATTGATATTTATTTAAATCATATTGCATGGAAAATAAAAACACAGTAAAACTAATTAGCATTTTATTTATAAAGATGCCATCAGCAACAGCAAAAAAAACAAAACATAAAACCTCCCATAATGCACACAAACTAGTCAAAAAACCTGAATTTAATTAACTTTAAACAAAACGAGCTACAATTCAAACTAAGCGGGACTTTTTTCTGCACTCACCTTTATTTTCTCTCCTTTACTGGTAAAATGTGAAAAAAATAAGAAAACTTAAACAAAGCACCAACAAGCAAACCAAAGAGAAAATTATGGTTCTGGAAGCTAAAACCAAGACCACTGAGTAGATTCATGCGTCTCTGCAGGACGGAACAGAAAAACCCACTCTTCTTCAGGGTTTGTCATCATTTACAGGAATTTGGTCCAGACTTCAAGACTCTGGCAAAGGYTTGCCTGACCTGATGCAACCTGGGGTTAAGTGTCGCACCCAAAAACCCGCAGAGGGTTAGATGGAACCAGGACACTCCGCTGGCRGCCATCTTGAATTTTCCTTGCGTACAGGTCATAAAGTGACAAWAAAGATGATTCTATTCTACGGTGTTGAAGAACGAGAGCTGAGTCTACTCAGTTTAACTCGATTCACTATAGGTTTTTGGGGAAAGAAGGACTAAGTTGAGGGTGGGGGGGGGGGGGAAAAGTTTAGCTCACTGCTGGGGGGGGTAGCAGGACTAGAAGACCAGGAATGGTGCTTTTTTCACAGACAGGAGCTATGAGATGCAGGTAGGAGGGCATTTCTAAAGGTGGGGGGGTTGTGGTGACCCGGGGGGCGGGGCTTGGTAAAACAGGGATCATCTAAAAACAAGTGCTTTCATATGTCCTGTTCAGGCCAGAGGGTGAGGTGGGTGTTGGGAGCTGCAGGTGATGATGATGATTACCTGAGTGGTTTTCCATCGGGTGATGAGGAGCTGAAGAAGCCAGAGGAGCAGGGGGTGCGGAGGGCGAGGCTGTGACTGGACCTGAAAGGGGCTCGCTCACAGGCTCGCTGGGCTCCTCCCCGCTCGGGCCAGCCTCTGCAGGAACARACATGGTTTAATAATTCACCACACAGACAGAGAGCTTCTGCAACAAATAAGTTTTATTTAAACAAAGAAACTTAAAAGGTTTGTGGCRTTTTTCTCTTCAAAATAAAAGCCTACAGGTAATTACTTGCTGCACAGCTGCCTGCTTCAACTCTGGACTCTTCTTCTGCTCAACACATTTCATGTCTCCAGTAGAAAAATCATAAAACAAACTGCGCGAGCCAAAAGCTTCATCTAATTTTAATCAGACGTTGGCCCTGAAACACAAGTGTCCCATCCTGGAAGTCTGTGACTGATGTTCTAAACCCTTTGYTGATCCAAATAAAATGTGGAGCCAGAAACAAGACTGGCAGGAAGTGCACCCCCCCCACCCCCCTTAACAGGCAGAGAAGCATTTTTCTCTTTGAGGCTGTTTAACTGGAGCCTTCTTTCTTGTACAAAAGTCTGCAAAACTTACTTCTTAAAGTTGGTTAATGAGGAATGACATCAGTTGTGTTCAACTTCCAATAAAGATTTAATTTCATTTATTTTAGTGACAAAACGACTAAATCCCAGCTTAGAAAAACTCACGTTTCTTTAAACATCCTCACTCACCAGGCACTGTGAGTTGAACAACTTCCCCATCAGGAGGCTCAGTTTTGATCCTCCTCAGAGGAACGCCGTCACATGCAGGACCTGAAGGACCTGAAGGACCTGAAGGACCCAAAGGACCTGCAGGGGTAGAAGAGATTATTCAGGGTAAATAAGTTTGTTTTGTTAGAAACCAAACTGGCTTTAAATAAATCAGACTGGTGATTTGTCTCAAACATCAGGAGGAGTTTTTATTATTTACCTGCTTCATAGTCAGCTTGGGGACTCACACAAGCACTCGTTGATCTGTGAAATCATACAAAAAGGGTAAAGAGGTTTTTAAAGTGTCTGGCGCATCWAATTTTTGTCATAAATACGAATGCATTTCTGGAAAGACAGCGTTGATAAAATATTGTAACAAAAAGTTTCACGCCGCTGAGATGAACCGTTCTTGAGATATTCACACACGCAGTARCAGGAAGTGATGTCACAGGGGAATGTCTGAATGTAAACAGAGCATTGCTACAACTAACAACAGACTGTGATAAAAATCTGATGTTCCTTTAGATTATTTTGAGATGATGGAGTTCAAATATTGTTTCAATAAACAAAGACCAGAGTTCTTTAAGAGTTCCCCTTTGATGTCACTTCCTGTTTCACTTTGGCTGAGCCAAATTCAGATGAAAATATGCCTGTTATGTGACAAAATGGGTAAAATCGTTTGTATTTGCTACGTTTCTTTAATATAAAGATGTTTTCTTTGACTTTATTTGAAGGATATGTATGTCACAGGCACTTTAATGTACACTGAATACTTTTTTATGCATTCATAGGAAAGAGCGAAGCACAACTTTTTCTTTAAATCTAAATTTTAGACTATCTAGAGTACCAGAACACAAAACCATTCAGACAAAAAAAATTAACTTGGTCAAAATTTCTTTAATAAAATGAATTAGAAGTAATGTATTGAAGGATATTGTGTGACTTAATTGATTTTGTGATTAACTGAGTTTTAAATTGATATTTTATAATTTGTGATTGATTACAATCATTTACTGTTAACAGTGATAGGATGAACATGTCTCTCTTTATGTGCCTCGATCCAGTAGTGTAAAAATATAATATTTAACATTTCCTGTAAATCAATGAGTAAGAGGAACCAGCCCAGGGCTGTGACCAGGTTTTCTATAAATATTCTGTTTAGTTTTCCAGGGTCACACACAGGTGCCAGGTGAGTCTTTAGATCTGAAAATAAACGTTTAACTGAGAATGGGATTTGGTTTTCTGCGTATTACTCAGGCATCCAATGCTGAACATTTGCTTAGTTTAATGATCAAAYATTTAGTAATTTTAGATTTTATGTTTCAATTAAAAAAGCATATAGATTTACTATATAAATAGACTGATTAAAGTAGGTTTGGTAAGAATTACTGCWGTTGATGTGAGTGATAAAAGCACGCAGCCGTTTGTTTGTGAGGTCCGACCTGCTGCTGTGAGGGTTGCTGAGCAGCTCGACGGCGGTGAGCGGGAGGCTCAGGTTGTCGGAGAAGCCGTCCTCAGTTGTGGCGCCCAGGTCAAGCTTCCCCTCCTCTTTTGCCATCTTGCCAGCAGCTTCAACAAACAAGCCACAGAGAATAAACAAACACCGCCTCCCATCAGCAGAACAACATATAGAAATATATAAATAATTTATCTTAAAATACTGTATATAAATATATAAATCCTGATCTAAAAATCAATCCTAAAACCACAGGTAGCCAGTGTAAAAAAACAAGAACTGGAGTAATATGGTCATTTTTCATAGGAAGAATGTAAACCTGAAGAGTTAAAATTTTGAATTATAGGGTCTCTATGAGCATTGGGACAAAAAAACAAAAATAAAAAGTTATCGGACATCCAGACCTTAATATCAGCGAGACATGAACCTAGTATGTTTACAGCAGACAGATCAAATGGATCAATGGATGAATAAAGTTGAGTATAATCTGCCTAGAARTGAAAAGCGATGTTATATTTGTGAATAACTTGGCCAAGAGGTAACGTGTAAATAGAAAATAGTAGTGGGCCAAGACTGGAGCCTTGAGGAGCGCCACAAAATGGATACACAGAAGACCCTATCAATTAAATAGGATTTAAACCAGTTTAGAGCAGTTCCATTCATACCCACAGAGCACTGCAGGCAATTAAAAACACAACAGATTTTTAAGAATATATAAAGATTAAACTCATTAAAATGAAAAGTTTTAAAGTTTTAAACTGTGTGAGTGCCGTAAAGTCAAAAAACAACCTTAAAGTGTTCAAACTTTTTGAAACAGACACAAAATACAACAAACAAACAGAGATAATTAATAAGTTTAAATAAAGAAACGTAGCCATTTAGTGGCACTAATTTTAAGAAATGTTTCAGAAACTGAGCCACACCACGGCTCAGACGTTTGAGAAAATGGCAAAGAAAAAAACWAAATTAATTGCAGCCTTACCAGTGAAAATCCTTTCATCAAACATTCTGGAATATAAAAAGAGAAAAACAGATCGTTAGTTACTGAGTTTAAACAGCGTTTCAGCTCTCAGGGCAACAAATTCCTGACACAAACATTACATGTGAAAGAAACTGCTATTAAGAGCTCTTTAGGCACATTAACTGCTCTTTAAACAATCATTCTCAGCCAAACAAGTAATTGAGTCATTCCCYCTTTTCCCACTAAACCCCTCTGACTGGAGGAAGCGTGTGGATGTGATGTAGTCCCTCTGCTGGCACATCCTGCCTGCCTGCCTGCTGCTGTTGGAGCGTTTTAATCTTCTCAAGGTTGCACCCTTTTCTTTGGCTCGTGTTTTGTTTGCACCTGTTCACTGCTGAACATCGTGAACATAATAAACAACACTGACGCAATCTACATCACAGAGCAGGAAGCGTCAAAGTATATTCTAAAGACTTGAAAGGTTTATTTTTTGTCCAGATTTCAAATAAACAAACCTCACCAGACTCAGCTCATGAAGAAACCTCTGTGCTAACGGGTGATGCTAATTCTAATTTGTTGTCATTTCATGTCAAAACTTTCAAACGAGAGGTGAAATATTTACAAAGAATAAGAAAACAGATTGGAATAATAATATATTTGCAACAGATAAACTTAAGTACCTCTAAACTCACCCATTTAAAGGGGGGGGGGGTATTATGCAGAATTGACTTTTTTTTTAGCTTAAATCATGCTGTAATGTCATTCCTTCATCAAAAACATGCCCTGAGTGTTGTTTTGACTCATTCATGCATGTTTGAGAAATCCTTGAAGCTCCTGTGGTAGTTATGTGGAGCTATCTAAACACTTCCTGGTACAAAGCTCCACCTATTTACACAAAGCTCCTCCCTGGAGCTCAGTCTGCAGCCGAGCGCCCGCCCCACAGAGCACCCCTCCAACAAAACATTGTTGAAAAGACGTGCTGAAGTGGGAGTGTCAGAAAGGGTAGGAGGGTCTTAAAAAGACAGGCCAATTTCAAYGTGTTTATTTTTGTTACATACAGCTTTTTTACAACTGAAGGCAATAGTTACTTGATTGTGGTTTAGAATTGAACCATGTGCCTGGGAAACACATAACCCCCTTAAGTTTTGTAACATCTCATGTGGAGTGCCTCAGGGTTCCCTTCTCGGACCTAAGTTATTTGTTTTGCATGTGAACGATTTGGTCAATGTGTCGGGGCTTTTTGGGTGTGTTCTATTTACTAATGATACAACACTCTTTTGTTCGGGTAAATGATTTGGTCAAATATAATATTTTGCTGTTAATGTACAGGGCACATAAAGGTGTGTTACCTTCCAACATTCAAGTGAATTTTGTTGAAAGCGAGAGCTGTTATTATCTTAAGGGAATGGAAATGTTTGTGAAACCCTGGTTTCGTATGAGCCTGAAGGAGGGATCCACTTTAATCCAGGGAATAAGATTCTGGAACAGTCTGGAAGATGAGGTTAAAAATGCCAGATTTTTATATATATTAAAGAGAATGATAAAAACTAGTATTCTGAAGAAATACAGAGAAGGATAAGTGAATCCATGCAAACTGTTGTTTGAGTTGGTGTTTTAAGTTTAGCTTTGTTTTTATTTTGTTTTCAGTTGTTTGGATTTTTGTTGTAATTTACTTTCATTTTGAACATAYTCTGGGGATAAAAAGGGGCAGATATTATAAGATTTATTCTTCTGCTGCTGCCTTTCAATTTATTTGACTTTATTTTGATTGCATGTTTTTGTTCTTTATGTATGTAAGTGTTACAAATGAAATGAATACATTTCTAAATAAAAAGAAAGTGATTCACCTGTAAAAATGACCTCAGGTGTCATGGTCCTAATGGAGTTTTAAAATGAACAGAAGTCAAACACAACAGGTATGAGCATGTGTCTATCTGTTCAGCCTAAAACTACAAAACTGATCCATCTGTAGTGTTTTGGTTTCAGTAAACTGAAWCAAACATTAACAAATACCAATATTTTTTTTAAGCTTGAATGTGGAGCATCCCTCACAGACAACGCAATATAGTTTTGAATTAATCACATTTTCAATCTTTTCTAATTGTATTAACACTAATGAGCTGCCTGCAGGGTTCATCCAAAGATGTGTTATCTCAAACAAGGCGTGGTGTCTCATTTAAATCAGCTTGAACAAATGGAAGGAAGAGCAGTCATTAGAGCGATACGCTGGCTGGCAACCCGCAGTCATTTGGGACAGAAGTGGAAATGATTCAGCAGTCAGCAGGAYGGGGGGCACTGAAGGAAGCACGTGTTTAATGGACAGATGGAAAAGCTGGCTTATTAAAAGTCTTCACAGAAGAAAAGTTAAAGAAGTGATGCTTTTCTGTAGTTTTCTGTTAATTATGCATCAAGCGGCTGTGATCTATGAACGACCGCTAAACAAGGCTTTAATAGAGGTATAAATCAACCTGTTTTTTTCTTTAAACTGTGATTAAAAATCGCTCTCAAACCAACAAAGTTACCTTTTGATGATGAATCGAATGCCGTGGCGCTCGTCCAGGATGCGTTTGAGCTTGGGCACGCCGTACGTGCACGGCCTCTTGAAGGGGATCTGATCGGGGATGCCGATGATCTCCACGGCTCCGGGGTCGCAGGCGATTTTGCGGTATGGGACGGGGACCATGTGATCCAGACCCAGTGCCTCGGCTGAAACGATAACGCCCCTGAATGTAACGTTTTTACTCAAACGGAAACAGAAGAAAATCAGTCTCCAGTGGGACGCAGACTCTCTCGTGAGATTTACTGAATATAAGATCATTAGAGCTGAAAGAGAGAGGAGTTTTAAATTATAATTGCTGCTCTGAAGTTTACAAATCTGGAGGAGATCCCAGGAGCCTTCAAGTTAATCCTGAAAGCAGACACACGGTAACATGCCTTTTAAAACCCGATGAAAATAAAGAGAGTTAAACATCTGCTGCTGGCAGCTTCATTAGTTTTGCCTTRTTTTATTATTTGTGTCAGGCTGAGTTAGAGCCAGTTTTCTTTGTTTTCCAGTTGAATTTCACAGGAAGCACCACCAACAACCCTAACTGAAAAAGGAGCTCCGAAAACCAGACTTTCTCACCGTATCTGCTGTTGAACAGGATCTGAACACATTCTCTCAGCGTGTTGATGTCTTCTGTTTCCCGAATAAACGAGTCCCATTTTTCTGCAAGGAAACAAACGAAGTGTTCGGCTGCCGTCGATGCGCAGAAAACGTGCTTCTCTTTCACGTTTGTTGCAAAATGAAACATTTCAATGAGTTATTCCAATACAGAGTCAAGAAAAACTATCTGAACTTAATCTTCTCTTACTTAATGCCAACTTGGTAAATCAGTGCAATCTTCTTAAAGGATTACTCTCAACAGCTAAGTAGCTTAGCCTGTAATGGCTAGGGGTTGGCACATTTGATACTGGTTTCCATAAACTCAACTTGTACATGAGTCTGTARATCCAATCATCATGTCAGCCAAAACTAAAAGAACCCTGTTAGTGACTTCTTAACTAGCTCAAACATCTCATTAGCATGTTTGTAGTGCAAAGACTGGGAATATTTCCACATGATTTATTTCAAAATAGGATTTTTGATCCATTTGATGCAGCTTTTCAGTAACTACCTGCTGGCTATTAACTTCTGACAACGAAAAGAAAAGTTGTAGTAAAGTCAATGAAATACTATGACAGTGTTGTTGAAATACCCTGAGCTACTGTAAAACACAAACAGTTGCTTTTTGATTCATTTCTTTAAACGCACCTGATTTTTCATGCACGATGGAGAACAGGAGCCTCTTAGAGATGTGGACCCCCGGGGGGCTCTGACCCGGCTCACCAGGCAGTCGTGCCGGCTCGTCTAAACATGAAAACAAATTAAACACATTCGCTTTGTTTCATGTTCATTTGACGCTTTCAGCTTCTCGACACTCGTTTTCTTAGATTTCATAAATATAAAAGCAAAAATGCAAGTTTAGCTTTTCTTACTGGATGTTGGTTGTGGAGTTGTTGTTGTTTTTAATAAATAAATCTAAAAACTTCATGATTTTATCATAAATTAAAACTACAAAAATTACAGTTTGAGACCACTGAGCCCTGAATCACTGCTGAAGTTAAGTAACTAAAATTCTAAAGTAGCAAAACGCTAGCTAAAAGCAGCAAAAGAGCAGCTAAAACTAAAGTTGTACAGTTAAACATAACCAAAGCCAAGCTAAAACCTTCATGTAGAAAAAAATTAAACAAAATCTAAAATTAGCAAAACGTTTGCTAAAATCTAAAAGTAGCAAAATACTAGTCAAAAGCTAAAAATGGAAATATCAAAAGCCAAAAGTAAGAAAAAGCAAAAAAATTAGCTAAAAGTAGCACATATCCAGCTAAAAGCTTAAAATTACAAAGAGCTAGCTCAAAAACAAAAGGCTAGCAAAAAGCTAAAAATAAAAATAATCTAGGTAAAAGTAAAATATAGAAAGCTAAAATAGCTAGTTAAAAATAAATTAGCAATAAACATGCTGTATGCTAACAGGACTAAAATGCTAATAAGTTTAAGTAAAGCAGAGGTTTGAATTTAAAGAAGCAAACAGCTAATTCCATGATAAACATAGCAAAAGTAGCTAAAGGATAACTAATAGCAGTAAAATGGTTGCTAAAAGTTGTAGAAGGCTAGCTAAAAGCTAAAATTAGCATGAAAAGATACATGAAACGTGAAAGTGTGAAACAGCAGAAAGTTTTGCAGAAAGCCAAAACTCCCTCTTCCAACCCGTCTCACCGCTGCCGGCGCCGTCCTTCACCGTCGAGGTCTTCTCTGTCCCAGCTGTCCAGTTGGCCAGCCGCTCTTTGCCCAGGTTGAGGAGGGATGTGGGTTTGAAGTCCAGCTTGCAGTCTGGGTGGGGTTTGGAGGACATTGGCATGCCGTACAGGAAGTTTGACAGGACCGAGTTGCTGCAGGTGGCAGGACTGGCCGAGGTGACTGCCTGGCCAGATGTCTTTCCTGGAGCGTGGCTGCTCTGCGTCATGACGGCGGTGGAAGAGCTGCTGCTGACATCTGCGCTGGACTTGGCTTCTCGAGGCGACTCTTCAGTTTGTCTGTGCAGAGGAGACCAGAATCAGGAGGGCTTTAAATCTATCAAATAAAACAGAGCTTCTAAGAGATAAACTGGGTTTTGTAAAGTTGTCCTCTGAAGCACTTTGTGAACTAGAGGCAGCACAGTTACACTGTTGTGTGTTTACAGAGCATTATTTTAACTTTATTACAGAAAAAAACCATCTGTAATGAGCAGCATGTGACAGCTGAAATCAATGGTTACAGAGCAACAAAAAGCTCAAATATTCTGATACRAAATGCTTTTATTTTTGCAGCCAGTCTGTTTAAAAKGACAGTTTCATGTAAAATCRACATTTTTATCTTTATAACATGTTATAACGTCATTCCCTYATCATAAACATACACATTGTTGCTTTGATTCATAAGACAGTAAGAGTCTGATGAYCACTTCAGCAACACTCCATTTCTGACATTTTCCTGCTCCGAGTTTGTAAAATCCTCTTTCCTGGTATTACATCTCCACTACAGCTGGTAATCCTTCATGTTCATGCCTCTGTTTCTCCAGCCTGGATCATACTGCARCATTAAAGCCAGAACCCGTCTAATTCCTGTGTAATTTTGTCTATTTAGAGTTAATAGGACCTTTTATCCACATTTGTAAAGACAGATAAGAAAATGAGCTCCAGTTTCATAAATCAGACATTACAAAATGTAAACTGCAGGCCTGAATGTTCAACACAARAGATTTTGATTTAAACCCTGTCCTGCCATAATCAAAGCCAATACTGTAACTACCTGAGGAAGAAGCCAAGGCAGCGCCTCGCAAACAACGTTCGCAAACTGAGGAGATTTATTTGATGTGAAGCAGCTGCTTTATGATGTAAAACAAGCATTTTAAAAATGTGCTGTAAAACAGCCGWTTACTGTAGATTTTATTTCAACTTCCCAGACTTACTTTTTCACTGTGAAGTGGATCCGGTGGCTCTGCTCCAGAATCTTCATCAGCGTCTTGGTGTCGTACTCTGAGGGTTTCTTCAGGGCGACGCCCTCGGGCAAACCGTGAGCCACCACGCACCCCGGGTCTTTCTGCAGCCACTCGTAAGGCACAGGRACCAGGCTGCTTTTCCCCACAGCCTCACCTTGGAGTCACAGAGCAACACAACGGGATGAAATAAAGGAAGAGAACTCCCCTGGGGTTGTGTTTGTTTGTGGCTCCTTACTGTAAAGCACAGTGAAGACTTCTTCCACCATCTTCCTCAGGACAAARATGTTGGACTGAGCGTCGGATGGAGCTCTTGGTTTCCCGTGTTCTCCCTCTTTRCTCACTTTGCTCAGATCCCCCTCCTGCTCTTTGGTATGTGTGTTTGCTGTGGTGGGATTCTGCAGACATGGCGCCCCTGAAACCAGCGATACAGATCACAAACATTCATAGTCTTATATTTGTTAGTGCACATGTGTCAAACTCAAGGTCCGTGGGCCAAATGTGGCCTGCAGGTGACTCCCATCTGGCCCGCCAGACAGATGGGGACTCGTAACTCGGACTTAGACCCTAAAAACTTGAGATTTGACTTGGACTTGTGATTTGAGACTCGCAAGCAATGCAAGTCTTTTCAGTGCCCGGCTCACGATACCCCACTAAACTAACTTACTCCTCTGGCTAATAAATCTGCTCTATGCAGAGGGTTTTTTATAAACACCATAGTGTGTCACAGTGTCGATATAATATGATGTTTTGTTTTTCCCCCTCATCTATCCTTGTGTGGTTTTTAGTTTTTCTGTTAAGGGTAGCGCCTCCACATGAAGATGATCCTTGCTTTGTGCAGGGTCAGTGGCAGCATGACCCAGAGCACCTGTYCTCCCATGTTTGTTATGTTCTGTCTTMTTCTGAATGGGTGTTCTGAACTGTAATTTCATTGTKCTCTCTGTACAATGAYAAYAAAAGGTCTAATCTAATCTAATCTAATACACATCCATGCTCCGCTCTGCTCCCCCTCACCTGAGGACGGGTGGGGCTAGCGCCTCAACGCCATGACAAGAGACTGGCAAAATGCAAAGTGTGTGGAGTCCAAATCCAAAATTTGTTTTTGTGATGACTTGTGTAGCCTTTTTACTTTAAGGATTCTGGTTCATCATCTCACTGACATGCTTTTATGCTTTTATAATATTTTTTTCTGGCATTTTATTGTAAAATCAGCAGCAGACTTGTTGGRTTTGTTCTCTGTCCATGGCAAGATATAATTACAGTATAATTACAGGGTGCTTTTGTAAGATTACTGCTTGATTGTTGTTATTTCAACCTTAACCTTATCTGTTTGTTTTAATAGTATCATTAAAACATAATACTATGTTTTAGTATTGGTTAAAATATAGTATTATAGAATATAATCTACTATAGCTAGAATACCTTTAATCAAACTGCCTGTTAAATGATACATGCAACAAGACTTGGACTTGAGGTCAAGAGACTTGAGACTTAACTTGGACTTGCAAAAAAAGACTTGTGCAAATCTCTGCCCCTATAATAAGTTTTTATTATATGAATTTGAAGGTTGCATGGTTGATTAAGTAACTAAGTAATTTTGTTGGATAGCTCAGTAATAAATAAGTTGCTTTAAAGCCAGCAGTGACCATAAACTACATCTCCCATAATGCATGCTGATTATGATGGGAATTCCCTGTGGGTAAGTGGGAGGGTTCAGAAATCAAGATGGCAGCTACTCACCTCAACACAGTGAGTAAAACTCTTACTTTTACTTTTAATAATATTTCTGTATTATTTATTTCATGTTTACTCAGTCGTACAAGTGGTACTTTTCAGTGTTTATAAGAGGACGTGTTAAAACGCTGTTTCTATGCAGGAAATACCAGGTAGAGCTCAGTTATTGACCTATTGGCTTCAAACTTGGTCAGTATGCTGCTAAGACATGGGGGATTAAAAGTTATCAAAATGGTGAGTTTTCGACTATGTTAAGGGGGCATGGCCAGGACTCRAATTATGTTGCGTTCCAGTAGTCCTGGGAAGTGGTAATTTCCCTGTTCCCATTGGTAGATTTAAACTGGAACACCCCCTCCAGTGGTAATATTCCACTCGTATAGTGGAAGAAATGCAACTRCTCCTAGTTTTGATTTCAAGATGGCGGCTACTCGCAGCTTTAGAAAGTTAACTCCGTAACTTTTATTGTTAATTATCTTTAGTTTTTTTGTGCATGTTTAATCACTGCACAAGTAGTGTGTTTTCTGTGCAATACTGTACGTGTTAAAATCAGTTTATTTGCATGACGTACGTAGTAGAGCTCTCTTTTTGTCATTGTTTATATTGTAGCAGTGTTGTAGCTAGGTTAGCCTGTCAGCTAACTGGAATCAGTTTCATATGGTTTGTTGGAAAATTACGTYACTACCATTTACTAGTTCTGGGAATACGATGTAAATAGAACAAACCATTAGAGTTGCTCAGTTGTAGCAATGAGATGAGGTATGTGTTTAGTTGAAGTTAAACACAAATTGTTAAATTAAATTGTTGAAAAATTAAAATTAAATTGTATTAAATTGTTGTATTGTTACCTAATTTCCTCTGGGATCAATAAAGTATTTTTGAATTGAATTGAATTAAAGTTAATTACAACTGGCCCATTGAGGGCCACCGTAACGCTCAAGTGGCCCTCGATGAGAATGAGTTCGACTCCCCTGAGCTAGTGGGTCCGGATGATTCCAGAACTTTGTTAAACCTGCTTCCACCTGATCAAATCACCTCCCCCTGTGGTTCAGACTCAAACTGATGGTTTGAGTGGAGGATAAAAAGCATCATGATTTAGAACTGAGGCACGACGGTCTGACTGTAGCAAAACTTCTAAAAGCTTCATTAATTGTGTTTTTAGTTCRATAAACATGAACCGCAACATTAATCCGAGCTCTTAGACAAGTTTCTGCTTGCTGTTTAATAAGTAGAAAAGCCTAGTCTGTAATTTTACAAACATAATGCATCAAATGGGTTTTGCTAAATGAGATGTGGAAGGACGGTTTGGTGATGTAGTGAGTCATTTTATCAGATAGATGGGAAACACGGCGGCCTGTAACTGTTCTGTTGATGTGATTATTTCATGTTGAAGTCATTTAATATGGAGCAAAAACTGCAAAGTGCTGCAGTTACTTCAGCGTTTTGGCTGAATGTGCCTTTGTGTGATCATAAGGCTGTAAAATTTTTCCCAGAGACACGAGTGACACAAACGCATCGCAGCTGTGGAGCTCATCAGGGTGATGGATGAAGAAATAAACGAGAACATTTGGACGTGAACGCCTAACGACTTTGATGAAATTTACTGGTGAAAAAAGGTGAAAGTGAGTCGAATAAAAAACTGAACTTTCAATGTTTGTTGAAGTAATTAAAGTAGAAGAAGATAAGACATGAGCAGCAGGAGACACAAAAATACAAAAAAGGAAAAATAAAATACTGAAAAAAACAAAAATGATGCATGAAGCAGAAAGTGAAAGCTCATCTATTTTCTATGGCCTTCAACATGACTTAAAAAAATAAGAAATACTAGTAATTAATCCGATTTGAGTTTTGCTGCAACTGAAATTAAGTACTTCTCGGTACTTTACTGCCAATTTGATTGTTATTTTTATATATTTTTAGATTTATTTTTTGTTTTATCCTCAGCTACATGTGATGCGATCGTTGTATTACTTTGATCAGCTGAGGTTGTTGTAAATGTGTTATATAAATAAACTTTGACTTTTGAAGAAACGTGAAAAAAGGATGCAAAACAAAGGCATGCAAGACTAAAAGGATGAATAAGAAAACAAAAAGTGTGTGGAGATATAAAGGCTGCATAAAGAATAAAAAGTTTGCATATGGAGGCTTATAGGGCACACAAGAAGATAAAAATAATGCATGAGGACATRAAAATATGGAATAATGCATAAGGAGAAAATAAATAGTGAGATAAACTAGAGCAAGAAGATTTTAAAGAAAACAAAGTTTGTAAAAGATGCAAAGAAATCTCAATAAGTAAAACATTGTAAATAAAGTTAAATATGTCAAAACTCCTGGTGGTAATGTCCAGAATGGCTGACTCAGCATCCACACATCGAACGCTGACTCAKTGTTCAACAAACAGAGATCAACACTGAGGTGGGAGCTCACGGCAGAACTTGTAGAAGTCCGTCTGGATCTCCCTCCTGGAGTTCAGGAACACTCGGCCCCTCTCTGTTCCCACGGCGATCACGCTGTCCTCGTGCACCGTCACACACGCCACCTCCGCGTTGAGCTTAGCCATGGCCATGCACTGGAGTGGGAGTCAAACACAGCGCGTCAGTGTCACCTGAGTCAGCGTTAACGCAGTGAAAAAAAGGACGGGTCACGGGTCGTACCACAGAATCCAGAGCCGACACCAGGCTGGTGAGGATCTCCTGCCTGGCTGACACCTGTGGCTCGCCGCGGGGGGTTGTCCTGACGCCGTCACATGCCAGCTTCCTCATCTGAGCCATGCCTCTGCAACAAGCAGCACACGGTCAAAGCACACATGTTCATTATACAGTACAGTTTATTATTAGCATGTATGAAACACAGGGTGACAGTTCTTTGTTTGCTCTCATACAGCATCAAGCAGAACAACCCATTCTCACTCCCAACTCATCACATMTTGATGCTTTTCCAAGGTTCCCTCTGTGTCCGGTTTTGACGCGTCAGGTACCCCCCTCACGTCAGTTATTGATGAGATGGGGTGGAATCCRTTATCATAATTTCAGAAAGTGTAGAAAATGCACAAAAACTACTGTCCCAAAGCCTAAAATTCCCTTTATTCACTCTAGACCAGGGAAACTCAAACGTTTTGGGTCTGGGGACCCCTTGAAAAGGCAAAAAGAAATTCAGGGACCCTCTCATAAACCCCATGCTGTTTTGTCATTTCAACCCCTAAATACTATGGAGAAATATATTTTTATTTTGTTTACTGTGTTTGTTTTATCAGTTCATTGTTCCCATGCGTTTTTTAAAATAAAAACCAAATTAACAATTTTGTGAAATTTTTTGAGGACCCCCAAGATACCACTCACGGACCCCTGGGGGTCCTGGGACCCCAGTTTGAGAACCTCTGTTCTAGACAGCCTGTCCCTGACCCAGTACCTAAAATTAACCAATCAACCCTGATCCCTAAAATTTATTGTTTTTAGAAAGTGTAGGAAATTCACGTCAACTATGTGTCCCAAACCCTAAAGTTACCCAATCTTCGCCCTACACATCATATCCCTGACCCCATTACATAAAATTAACCATGAACCCTGATCCCTAATACTAACCACAGACCCCAAATCAAAGACCCCTATATTTTGCGTCCCGACACGTCAAACCTGGACGCCGAGGGAACCGGGAAATGCCTGGTGTGTCAATAACTGATGCGACAGGTGTATCCGACACGTCAAAATAAGACTCAAGAGGGAACCTTGGAAAGCATCAATATGTGACGAGTCAGGAGTGAGAATGTGAGGCAGAAACACTCTCCATCTTCTGCCTCCCTTCAACTTCCTCCAAAGGTTTTCCTGCAAACCACAGAAGATCCACCGTGCAGCCGAACGACTTGATACAGCTCTCCCATTTTATCTTTACCACGCTTCCATCTCAGCAGATCCTCCAGGRACCATGACGGCAAATAAAAAGTATTCATAGCAATCCGTCCATGCATCCRTGCGTCTGACAGACTAGTGCTTCCCCAGAGTCGTACTTCCAGAATATCTAAAAGCCAAATCCATCAAAAAGCTGCCGTTGTCAGTTAAAGATGATTAGAGCACTCAGAGGATGTCACATGAGCCTCTGAACACTGGATTGTCTCTCCTTGACAGATGGCATAGGAAGAGATATTGACTCAAGATGGACGAGGTGAGTCTTCAGGTTTCCACCGCTGTGTGTGACGGGGGAGAGCAGCTGAACTGTCTTTTTATTCAAATATCAGCCAAATAAAAGCAGGTCAGGGGGTCRCCTTGGATCACCTTCTTCAAGGAGCTCAAACCTGCAGACTCAGGATTACCAGACTRYRGCACTGACCACTGACCGAGCAGACTGACCGGGGAAATCTCCAGTCAGTCTGCCCGACGGCATTAATCATAGTAATCAAGTGCGTAAAAATAACCCATTCATGTTTTTCTGATGATCAAAAGCAACGATACGGCCCGACCTGAACACAGGGGTCCTATAGTTTAAGGCAAGTTAAATTTAAAACTTTTTAAGACCTTTTAATGCCAAATTAAATTAAATTTAAGACCAATTTCACAATAAACATAAAGGACAAAAAAAAAAAAAAACCTGGCAGAAACTCATGAATCAAAGTATTTTTGGTTGAAGTATACAAATATTCCTAATAAACCAATTGTTTTTAACTATATCCAAATGCTTTTTTGTCAGATATAGCAAAAACCTTCTTAGCAGTCAGTTTTAACTTAATTTGATTCCTGGAGATTCTCTTAACAATCCAAATTTTGGAGTTTTAGGACCCAGAGTGGGTTCTCAACCCCAACTTTCTGTGGATGAAACCTTAAATTGACTGTGACATCAATATTTTTGTAAGAAATGTGAATCCATTTTTAGAAAGACAACATTAACATTTTACAAAATGAATTYCATGTTGCTCAGATGGACGGTTGTTGAGATATTTGCATATGAAGCAACAGGAAGTGATGTCAAAGGGGAACGTCTGCATGTGAATATTTAAAAAAAATAATGTTTCCAATTATTTTAATATTTGAGATGAATTACAGTCATCCTATGTATAAT